AATACGTATGTAAAATAGATTTCATTAATTCATGTAAATGTCTGATTGAATAATTCATCATCACTCAGTTAAAATAAATGTGTTAAAAGTAAAAATACATTGTCATTGTGTAATCTTTGTGTTCATTTGATTTAAAAAAAAAAAAAAAAAAAAGGGAAATTGCTTTATAACAAGATTTTTATTATGTTTTGCCCTAATCATTTTAAATAAAATTGGTTACAATAGCCTTTTGGTCTAAATGATGGTTCCTCCAGTTTAAAATAAAATATATTCACCTTTTCACTCATTTCAGGGCTAACACACAAATAGTGAAAGCCTTCAGAAAGACTTCCTGTCTTGAGGTCTTACCGCACTGCTGCACTGATACACCCAGATGCTGCACTCCTGCTGCTCTGCATCTGTGGTCTTCAGTGCGAGCAGGTTTTTTCCAGCACCCAGACCATCATCATAGCAAAGCATACGCACAATCAGGTAGAGCGGGTGACGCTGAAACACATCCTGTGAAAATAGGGAATAATGATAGCTGATAGAGGTAATGTTCCGTTACAGTCCCACATTATTATTTTGTGATCATGAATCTAAATGCTCCTTTCATGTGGTGGATTAAAAAAAAGAGCCAAATCTCTCATATGAATATTAAACAATGACATTGGGTCAGGTGAATGAACTCACACACTGGTCCAATGAGGCCACTTTAACTCCATACTTGGACACTCCCAGAATCATCTCCTCATTTCCAGGCACAAACGGCAGTTTTCCATCTTGCTTTAAATTGAATACATGAAATATAATGAAGGTTTTTAAACAGCTTCAGTCTTAATGCATGATTTATGATAACTATTTCATTTCTGCTTTAATATCAGTGGTTTGCTAGATTAAAAGAATTGTTTACCCAAATATGATTTTCTGAAAAATGTACTCATCCTCAGACTATCAAAGATGAAGATTAGAAATTTACACATCACTTTCTCACCAATGGATCTTCTGCAGTGAATGGGTGCCG